GGTGTGAAATTTCCTGCGTTGTCTTTCTTTTCCTTTAGAGTGTTGGGCCCGCTGAGCCTTGTCCACAAACTTGTAAACCTCTTCTAAGATTGGAGAGGGTAGAAGGATTTCCAGTTCCTGCAGGGTCTGGCTGATCTTGATCTGGAGGGCATCTATGGTGAAATGGACCTGTCTTATCCTTTCACTTATTGTAATGGGTTTTTTTTTTAACAGGATACTGCGGTGTTAATAATTAAATAACAGAACAGCAGTCCAGAGTACGATGCTGCCATGTGTGCATGTGTGTAAAGCCCTGTGCACATATAAAGCAGCTGACTTTCCAGGTCTAAGCTGGTTACTAGCAGAAATCTCAGCCTCTGGTCCCAGATGCAACAATCTAATATACTTCTATCCTTATAGTACAGGATCCTTGGCCCGGCAGACTGACCTGTGCTGATGTGTTGATTATGTGGGTTGTGTTGCCCATGCTGATTGTGATGGCTGGGCTTTGGATGCATGGCCCCGTGCGGCTGAGCCGGGTGCTGAGGAGCGGACGGCGGCGCTGGATGTTGGACCTGAGGTTGTGGGTGGGTGGCGCCCTGAGGGGGGATGACCCCCGTCGCCATGAAGAATTGGTTAATGGAGGAACACAGGTCAGCCATCTGGGCAGCATCAAGAGACCAGTTGCTGAGCTCCGCCTGTCGCATGCTCTCCTTCAGACCTGACAGAGAGAGGAAGCAAAGTGCTGTGACTGCCACGCACCAGAGCTTTTACTGCTTCAAGATGTGACATCGTTTCATGTACTTTATTTTATTGTTTTGATTTGTTTTTTTACAGGTAAATTAATGCACGAGTTGTTAATTTGCATTTGTTCAGCTTGTTCTGCCAGACAGGAAAAAAACAAACAAAGAAAAAACAGAAAAAGAAGCGATATAAGAGAAAACCTATTATTAAATTAAATCAATATGCTAAATATAAAGGATGCAAGGCCAGCACTGGTTTCTGTGATTTTTTTTAAACACGGCAAAAATGAGTCTCTCATTTCTGTGGGTACAAAAATTTCACTTCCTTCACTACTTTACTGAAAAAGCAGACCAAACGTTGCTGTTCTCTAATAGATGCTTTCTTCTTAGCAGCACTTCCACTGCCAAGAAATACCCGACATCCTCTAAGTGGGTGGTGATTGACTAATGAATAATTTTAAACATCAGGCATGCATCAGTGCTTATCAAATCGAGTAAATTGTATTTTTT